AGCCCATTTAAAAATGATTCTTAAGGGCCTCACATGGAAGTTAAGTCACTCACGCCTCCTACACTGCAAAATCTGAAGTAAAAGCCCCTTACTAGCTCATCACCTGGGAGGTGACATTTTGAGAGGGGGAAAAATAGATATTTGTGTCATTTCTAGATATTTTCACACAGATTTAAAATCACATGCATGAAAAACAATTTAGAAGGAAAGAAGAGTAGGTTCTCTGAGACTGGCTGTGCAAGGATTAAAAAAAATGTAGCAGGGTTTGTTTGTAGGTCAGGATGTGTTTCAACTTGATTTATTAACTTATTGAGAAAGTTTAAATTAAGATCTCATCCAAAACGTGGAGGGTAAAAATGGTATGCTGGCTCAGTTGCTTCTTAGTTAAAAGAGCATGTATTAAGCACTTCTCTTCCCTAAACTCAGCTCATGACTTAAAAATAGATAATGTCATTTGCCTTGAAAAATACCTTTTAGCCTTTTTTTATGTCTTCACTTAGATACTGTACATACTGCTTCAACAGCTCATTCAACACCCACCTATTGAGGGTCTACTTCCGTAGCAAGCTAAATGCTGCAAGAGGCTTAGCAAATAGACAAATACGTGATAGCATTACAATTGGTCAAGTTTTTTCATTCAACAACAAACTCCTTTTGTTTCATTATTCAAAAGCTTCCCTGATATATTTTAACACACTTTTGTACCCTCGTCAGTACAGCATGGTAAAAACAAAATAATCTCCCTTGAGTGCCAGTGTCAGGAGTCCAAGTTGCCTGTTAATTCTGAGTCCCACTATTACTAAGAGGTAAAGATGAGGGAGGTGAAGAGAGGGACCGACTGACCATAGGTGCCTCCCCCTGCTTTGGATAGTCATTGATCTTCTAAATTAAATCCATATCATCATCTTCTGTGATTGTCAGCTTTACTTTCCCTGAGAGTGACTTATGGGAAAAATGGGTTTTCTTTAAATGTCAATTTCTTAGATTGTAATTTATAAGTTTGTCCATAATATTTAGAAAGATATACTAGCAACATGAATATAGTAATCTGCCACTAAATACCCAAAATATACACTCCTGCATTTGGAAATGATAGTAATGAAAGTAAAGAGGAAGATTTCTCTGTTGTTTCAGCCAAACTTGTCATTAAAACTATTAATTAACCCGAATGATGAATTTATCGAATGCATATTATCAGGAATAAACTCCTGTTCGTTTTTTCTTTAGGTGTTATCTCTGGAAGTCTTTACTCAACATGGAAGTTCCAATAAAATCATGACTACTAAAGTAAATATTATTAAAAAAAAAAGAAATTGGAAAAAACTATTAAACATAAAAATGCTATATTTAACTGATAAAAAGATTATAGTAAATAAAATGTGATAGAAGGAAAAAGAAAAATCCATCTAAAGTTTCAAATCATAAAACTTTCACATACTGATAAAATGTTATTAAATCTTATTACCTATTGAATGAAGAGCTCATAAAATATTTTAACACTAAAAAGTTATAAGAAAATGCTAAATGATGTTTTATTGTTGTTTTTGTTGCTGTTATTTTGTAGTACTGAGGATTGAACCCAGGGGTATTCTACCACCAAGATACATCCCTAGCACTTTTTAAATTTTTTATTTTGAAAAAGGGTCTCACTAAGTTGTCCAGGCTGGTCTTGAACTTGTAATCCTCCAAACCTTCTGCCTCAACCTCCCAAGTGAGAGTTTTAAATGAAGTGAAAAATGAAATAAAATAATATAAAATAATAAAAATACATCAAAATTAAAGACTTTATTACAAAACTTAAGCCAACCAAGTGGTAAGCAGTAATAAACCACAAAAAGACAGAGGGATTTGACTCTAAAATACTTAAGAGCCTTGAATTCATTTGTCTCTCTAAGGAGTCACATAGAAAAGCCATTTCAGAAGCGAGAATATATTTTCCTAATTAGAGGAAGGGGGCTGGACTGATGTAAAACACTTTGCCAATGCATGAGACAATTACCAATATTAGTAGATGCAATAGCATGAGGTTCAGATTAAGGATAATAGTAATAAAAGAAAAGAGCAGAGATAATGCAATGGGCATGATTTAGAAAGACGCAAGAGAGCTTTCTCGACACCACCTGTAACCTGAATTGTGTTAGAGGAAAGACTGGAAATGCTAATAAGGAATATGATTAAAGGTATGCCTGTGGTTATAAATTGCTTTTTTAATGGTGATGATAGTAGCTGACATAGAGTATAATAAGAAGATGAGAATGTCAGTATCAATTTTTATTAGTGCCATGAACAATATACAGTATATTTAAATTAGCTTCATTTGTATTAGTATTTTTGTAAGTAGTCTCTCTGGAAGCAATAACATGTCCAATGTATTCTAAAAAGAAGGACTAAATAAGTTGCCAGTATTCTCTACGAAATAGCCATAACTTTCATACTGGGGAAAACATGCCACATTCCCCAAGGGTACTCAGAAATTCAATCACATGATTGCAATTCTGAATCACAATAAATCGGTACAATAAATTAGAAGAACATCATAGGGAATGAATAAAGTTATACAAAAGTTGCACAAAAATTAAAAAAGAAACTAAAAATAAAGTTTTTAAAAATAAACCAGTACTCTCCCTCCCCAAGATGTATATAGAATAATAATTAGGGATTATGCCTAGGTCAACTTAAGCCACTTAAGAGATGGCTTGGTACCTCTTCAGCCTAAACATGATCATTCTGTTTAACATAACTTTTTGTAAATTCTAAAATTATCAGTAATTTCTATTAACTCATTCTTATTAAAGAAAAATAAGGGAATTTGTTTCATGCATGAATCTTCCCAGAAATTACCATCATCTTTCTGAATTAGTCTAATAACGAATTAGGTCAAATGAAATTTTTGACAGATAAATGATTTCTAAAGAACTAAGAGAACAGGAAACATTATCATTTTTAAATAAAATAAATTCTTTGTCCAAATTTTAGAAAACTAAGTTGTTGAAAGATAACTCTGAAGGTTAAAGTGTGGAATTTCAAAAAAAAACATAAGCAATGAATTACTTCTTTTTGATTTCATGTTCTGGATAGTACTAATTATGGATGAGGGAAAGCATAGCCTAGTGATAGAGAAGCTGCTCTGTTGAGTCTAAAGTTTGGATTGCTTACTAGTTTGTAGCCTTGGGCTATTTACAGATAATGCTTATTTTCACTTCATTTTTCTGAAAACTTGAATAGTCATAGTTTCTACCTTATGAGATTATTGTTGAGGATTAAATGAGATAATTGGATGACAAAATTTGAGTGTACGGCATGTAAGACCTCAATAAATATTAGTTTATTATAATCATTTATGCTGATAACATGCTTGAAGAGTAATTTCCATTTCTGTACTACGGTCATATTAAACATTTTTTCCCCATAAATTTGTTTCTCTGTTAATTCCTTCCATTTTTTCTGAATTATGTGTTTTTCCTTAGGTCAATGCACATATTAATTCCCTCAAAATTCTTGTTTTTTTCAAGCTATTTTCAAGATATATCACTAAAAAGATTTCTTTTTGCCTTCTGAAAGCTTTGATTCCCTAAAAGACCTGACAGTTTTGTTCACTGGGGTGCTGGTCATGGTCATGGACACTGTTTTTGTGGTAGACCATCAGGAAACCCTCTCATAGTGCTGCAAACATCTTTTACATTTTGAGCACTTGATTGTTTTAAATTTCTCTCAATCCTTTTACAGAAGACACAAAGTCTCCAAAAAGATAGAAATTTAGATGAGAGTAAATTTTAAAAGCAAGAATTTAAATGAGCCAAATACTTCAATAGTTTAATCCTGCCCAATTGTGTGAATGTACTACATGTCCTGCTCTTATTAAAATAGTTCATAAAAAAATTAATGATAAGATTAACAACACAGTCATGGCCATAAATTCCCTACAAGCAAACTTCTACAGAAAAGAGCATCAGGATGAATTGTAATAGGTATGTGTTCCTCTAAACAGGTGGACCAAGGCTGAGGCAGAATGAGTCATATGCAACAGGGAAGTAACTAAGACAACCTGTGTTCCAGGGAACCACAAAGGACCTTTGCTTGGAAAAAGAACTATGTAAATTGTTAATGCATACCTTCTAAATTTCAAGAGCGTCAGATACTATAACACATCCTCTATTTTTCAAACACTTCCCTAAGGACAAATGTAGACCATTGCTGTTTTTAAAAAGGCAGACTAAACAGTGAATTTAGAACTTTCTGAAATTGCAATAGCAAACCTTGAAAATGGGCAAGGGGATCATTTTGTTCCTGACAGAAAATGTATCATCAGCACATTTTCTTTATTTTTTTCCTCTTAAGTATATTTTTTCATCATTTTTTTTTCTTTTCTTTTCTTTTTTTTTTTTTTTTTTTTTTTACTATATCTCAACAAAGACTCTGTAAAAGAAAATCTAATTGAAATTTATTCTGCAAAACCAGGTGGAATTTTCAGAGTATTAGGTCTGAGGTGTTATGATATCTAAGGTAGAAACATATGGACCCATTCAAAAAACCTATTTGTCACATTACCTTGTAATGTGTAGGTTAAAAAAACAAATTGTGGCTACCTGATGGAATTATCTAATTATTTCAAATAAAAAGTGTATAACTTAGGATCTTGGTGATCCATTAATCAGGTCACAGATGGCAGTTCAGTTCACTGACCCTTGGTATAAAATCTAACCATGTAGGTGTATAAAAAGTGTGTGGCAGCCTACATTCCTTAAAGAAAAGTGGGAAATTACTCTCATTATACCAAATGATTCCATGTTTTATTATTAGAATATAAGAGCAAATTGTTTTGGATCCATTATCCGTATAGATGTTCCCTTTCTCTGCTTCTTTGGTATTTAGATAGAGACTAGTAAGTCCTTTGGCTTGTTTCTTATTCTAAAACAAGGATTGTGAGGCTTTAAAAGTATAAATCATTCTAATAATAAAACCAATCAATATGAGAAAAAATAATGTAGGGAAGATCTTACCTGAGCTCCTGGATTAGGGAATCCATTGGTACTATTGGAAAAACAAACAAAAAAAAAAAAACAAAAAAAAAAGAAGAGAAAGAATCAGCTGATAATTTTCAAAAGTGATTGAAAGTATTTACCCATCTAAAGATAATAATGATGAATTGTTAGTATAGACCCCACGTGGCTTCTCACTGTATGGCTTAATTCTTCTCTGTTCTGGTCCTCTGGAGATAAGAGGACAGGTGAGTATGTCCCAGGATGGCTCATTGTGTTTAGTATCTTGGGTGGCCCTGGGGCCTTGTAGTCACAGTTTGGACTTTTTAAGTATCTGTCTTTAGAGGTTCATTGAAAAATTACAGGAACGTAGAAGATCTGAATTATTTTTTAAAATAAAATTTATTTTAATAGGAAATTATTCAAAAGAATTTCAATATTATCCTCTCTCTTTGTGTGGGGATGTGTGTGTGTGTGTGTGTGTGTGTGTGTGTGTGTTTGTATGTTTGGGTTATACTGGGGATTGAACCCAGGGACTCATGCATGCTAAGATAACACTCTACCACTGAGCTACACCCAGTCCCAAGATAACATATTTAATGACATTAAACAAGTATTCAAATAAAACTGGCAAGGCTTTACTAATGAATATATCCCAAGATTTTATTTCATAAACTTTATACATAAGGAAGAAAGGAATGCTCATAAGCTTCAAAAATGTTAATACCAATGAACTTTTAAAAATAAGAAACTTAGAGAAAAAGGGCTTCAGTTTTTCTGACTGAGACGCTAGGAACTATAGGAGTTCATGTTTATAAATACCTGCCTACACCCAGGATAAGCAGCATATGGAGGGAGGCAACAGGTGGTTTTCAAGATTACTCATGCTTCACAAGAAACAGTCATTTCACTTCTAGAAGAACATTTTGGCTCTATTTAAGACATGTGTGCATGTGCCAAAAGAATTCGAAGTCCAAAAAAGAATTGCAAATTTAAAGACCCTCATTTAGAAAGTATGAGAGAGTAGTGTGCTTTGAGACGTCAAAATAAGAGATTTGAAGACTCCAAATACAGGGCTGGGGATGTAGCTCAGTTGGTAGAGTGCTCACCTCGCATGCACAAGGGCCTGGGTTCAATCCCCAGCACCAAAAAAAAAAAAAAGATATGAAACTAATGAAAGAAACTCTGAAATTTGTATAATAGTGAGACATTTACCTTCATGAAAATTTAGAGTCTAGAATTACTATGAGGGTAAAAATTTAGAGTCTAGAATTACTATGAGGGTAAAAAATATGGTTACTTTAAAACTAAAATTGAAAAACAAGACAGTATGTTTGAGTAGAGAAAAGTCCTATGTGATGTGCAGAAATATTCTGAAGTTTGGGTAGCAACGCTGATGATAAGCACTGGTCACATTTTAAATAAAGAAATGAAAGCATTCTTGAATTTGTTAAAAATATTTGTGATTTTGGACTTTGCTTAAACAGCAATTAAGTACCTTGACATATATAAACATATAGCTAACAAAAGTGTTCAACTTGATTAGCCATTTTCAACTGAAAATGTCAAAACCTTTCCAGATAAGTGCAGGGTGACAGCTGGGCTCAGCTCTTCTTAAGCAAGGTAGACCCTGAGGAGGGTGGGGTGGGGAAAACAGCTATCCAGAGTGTTGTCAGAGCCATGGTGAACCTACAGTTTCCCACTTAGAATTAAGGGTCACAAAAATATAGCTAATTATAATAAAAGTTATTTTCCTTAAGGGGTGTTATTGCCAGTCAATCCTGTTTTCCAGATGTTTAGATCATCAAGGGCCTGTTTATATTTCAATATTACATTACCATCTGTTGGTTACAAAAAGAGAGGGATAACCGGCAAGTTAAACCTTCCAAACATTACTTTGCAGAGCTGCCGGAAATTCCCAGCAGGAATAGTCAAAAAACAAACATCATCATTTTACTTGAACAAAGTATAGATTGGGAGCTACTAAACCAGATAACATGAAAATCAAAATCCGCTTTAGCAATAAACTAACAATTCAGTTTTTCCCTTGGTCATTTAAGGTCACTTTTAAAATCTGAAGGTCTCCATGAAACATTCCTCCCTTGCTGAACCTTAGGATATTTTGCATGATGTTCAAATGCACTCATGATTGTATTTTGTAAAAATGAGCATCATATATCATTTGGACCTTCCAGAGTCCTTTAACTCTTAGTTCATAATATTTAGCTTCTCAATGCCAAGAGCCAGTATTCTGGCTTGATTTGAATAAAAAAAAGCCCCAAGGAAGGTGTAATCATTTTGACTACACGCTAGGGACAGAGGACACTGGCACTCCCATCTTTCATGGTATGGTGGGCACAGTGTCAGGAAACCTGTTTGCTAACTCACCCTCCGTTCCTTTAGAGCGAGTCCGCAGCGTTTTATCTTCAGCTTCTGCATCCATCTGTAACATGAACACAAAGTTCTGAGGTCATGCCTTTGACATTGATGAAAATACGAAAATATGCAGTTAGAAGTTCTGAAGGTCACGGTGAAAAACAGAGTGCCCTTCCTTGCCCTTGAATCCCATTCTGACTCTCTGGGGAACTGATTGTGACTGCCCTCAAATACTACTAGTTTAAGAGACACATCTACAGATGCTGGAAACCAGAGAGAACGGCAACAAGAAGGCTGATATCCTTGCCCACAAGTGTTTTTAAGTGTTTCAAATGTATAGTGATTAAAAAAAAAAAAAAGACTGATTACTGTGGTCATGAAAGGGATAAAACCTCAAATGCTAAATCAAAATATTTTAGATGGATTTATTAAAATCTGATTCTTTTACATTTATAGACCCTTCCCTATACATACGTCTTTCTAAGGAAAATAACTGTCTAAATAAGCAACTTGAAGCCAAACTCATGTAATTCCCCTAGAATGAGAAAATTCTATCAACAAAACCTATATTTACACCCCAAATTCCAAAAAAACTATATTGGTTATAGTCATCTGAATGTAAACAGAAAGTGAAGGTCTGTGGCAATATCAAATTTCCATCATTACTAAATATTTTAAATGCAATCAAATAAATTATCAAAGGGATGCAAAGACTTTCGAGGCACTTTAGTTTCATGGACTCTGACTTGAAGACATCTATCCATTTCACTAGAATCTGCTCATCATTCTCTTAGTTTAATTCACTTCTGTATGCTGTTAGAAAGAATTCTTAAATATAAATAAGTTGTTGTGTCCATTGAAAATAAGAGGCAGGCAGAAGGCGCACTCCGTGGCTCCCATCCTTAAATCCTGACATGAGCAGAGAGGCAGTGTGACTGCCATGGTAATGGGAGCTGCGTCTCTGCTCTCTGAGGCTAGGTTGTGATTGAAGGCACTGACCTGCCATAGACTTATAATAGGGGAGCAGGTGTGGCAATGATGGACTTTAATTTCCTTTAATAAACCTTTTATGTGCCACACTTTTACTGCCATTCGACGCTCTCCAAGGTCCTGCACATAATAGGTTCATTACTTTTGATTACTATAGTCTATTGAGACAAACAACTCCAGAACACACTATATATTATGTTCAGTTAAACCAATATAGACTATTTATCCATTGTGCATTTTTTCACCTGCAACACTACAGACGAAATTAACGACACCTCTCGTAAGCTAAAACTATTAAAACCACCAGAACTCTTTTGTCATTGCTTCATAATAAACACCATACCAATCGTTGAACTGCTTTTTAAATTAGCAAACAAAAAGTGTTCACCACTTTGGTTGAACAGCAGTTGCTTTCGTCTAAATAAAATGGTTCATTGTTATGAATATTTTAAAACTACACAATAAGAGAAAACAACAATAAAACAGAGGTGATTTTTTCCCCCTGTCAATTTTTCTTCTTTTAAAACTGCACGAGTTTACGACAAATATGACACTGCCTAAGATTAAAATGGCTTGGTTTACTCAGGATGGTGAGCACTGCCTTGTGAAATCCCCCTCCTCCAGGGAACATCCCTGTTTCATATAAAGTGGCTCAACTCATGCAAGGCCCTTCCGTGTGCTACACAAATAACTAGATTAAGAGAGATCAGTAGCATGTGAGGGTTAAAAAGATGAAACCCATCAAATATTTCTGAGGAAGCTATTCCCATGGGAGAGCATCCACATAACACAAGTCTATCATCCTGCCACATGGGTGCTATTAACTCTCCCCAGCCACCTAAAAAAAAATACCCCCCCCAAAAAAAGGGGAGGTTGAGTTCCATGAGTTTCTTACTAAAACCGAAGCACACATTGCAAAGGATGCCAGAAGTTATACATAAAAGTTTCAGACACATACTCAAATGCAACCTTTTTTCTAATAACTTTTAACTAGATTCTATTTTGCAGTTCCTCTATTCAAGGGTCTGAGTCTTGTCTCCACCCCATGCAACCATCTCCACATTAAAGTCCTTGGAAGGAATGCATAAATATTCATGGACCTCCCCATGAATGTGCTTGGAATGCTGGTCTCATAATTGTATTTTGTTAAGCTATTGTTCTCCTGTTGGTGTAGCACATTCACCCTCTATAAACATTTAAAAACTGATAAGTCATTCATAAAACTAAGTTTTCAAATTTAGCTTGTGGGCTGAGTAAGAGTAAAATAGATCAAGGCCATTATTTATGAGCTATCTATTTCACCTTCATTCTGTCCTTCATAACTGGGGAACAATAATTACTAAGTTTAGTTTCTAATCATGTATCAGACATCTAAAGCATATGTATTTTTATTTTTAGGGGTGGGGAATTTAAACGTTCATGAGAGGGTTCTCTCTCCTCATCCACCCTAACTCAAAAACAGGTCTTTGTTCCTGTACATAGAAGTAGAAAATTCAAAGTATTCTTAATTTGGATTATTTCCATGAGTAAATTGCCAATGGAAAGACTTTATTTTCATAAAATGAACCCTTGTCTTCAAAGGTACCTTGCTCAGGTGGTGAGTCATTCAAGGTAGAGATTTCTACTTTAGTACCTGTCTCAAGACCCAGAGTTAGGGGTCAATTATCATACTTTCTAATTCTTCCAGAATGATAGAAGAGTCACAAGTTCATGGTATGGTTCAAGAAAATGACCTAAACAATACGTATTGCAATCTTGAATATACCACTTCTTAGAGAGTTTTTTTTTTCCACTTCAAAATAATGTTTAATTATCTATATTGCTTACCACCCCCCACCCAATAGTTTTGAAAAGACTGCAATTAACTTTGTAAACTTTGAGTTATTCCTTTTCTTGATTGGAAATTTTATTTTTTAAAATCTTGTCCTTCTCCAGATTTCATAGTTTAAGGATGAGAACAATAGAATATATAGGCCGAGATTCCTATAATGAGCTCTTACTGGCTTTCACAATCCAGTTCTCAGCAGGGATAAGAAGACTGAAGTTGACCTTTGTTATTCTAATTTTTCCTGATCTGTAACACTTACTTTAAGAAAAATCTCATTTAACCTACAAATATGGACATATTGTATATAGTATTTAAATAGAAAGAAGAAAAAAAGTATTCTTGCTCAGCATTTAATTCATAATAAAGTCACAAAGAAAATTTTTAAAAAGGCTTCATGTTTCAGTTCTCCAGGGGAAAGAAGTGAACACATGAAAAAAATTGCAAGAGGGAAAGAATTTTATAAAATACCAAATGTCAAAAAGCAAAATTTGGAGGAAGGATGTGCACAAGAATTAGAAATGGAAATAAGTAGATTTGTAGTGAAGAAGAAAACCTGACCTTAGAATAACATGAACTATTTAGTTGAATGTGGAAAACTCCCATTTAACATCTTTATATACTTATAAACCTATATTGAAGTGTACAAAGTGGTTTCTGAATTACTTGTACTTGCCCATCCTTTTTTTTACATCAGGGGCATCAAAGAGTTCTCTTTCTTGTTACCCCAGGCCACAGATCTGGGACCTTCTTTGGGGCTGAACAGAAAGTTTCAGAATTGCTTCTTTGTGGAGGAAGAGATTCAAGAAGCAATATGTAAAACTCAAAAAATCAATTTTGATTTCATTCATGCAAGCCTCTTAACTGGTATTTAATTCCTTTATATTTTATTTTTCACTCAATATTCTATTTTAACCTAATGACAAGTAAGTAAATAAATAAAAATTTAAAATGAGGTGATGCACACCTGTAATCCCAGTGACTGGGAAGGCTGAGGCAAGAGGATCACAAATTTGAGGTTAGGCTGGACAACTTAGTGACACCCTGTCTCAAAATATAAAAGGGCTGAGGATGTAGATTAGTAGTAGAGCATCCTGGGTTCAATCTCCAATACTGAACCAACAAACAGACAAACAACCCCTATCTCTCCAAATAAATATGCAATCGATTCTTAAAAACTGGGTAAAACAAATTCCTTGGTGATATTGAGGTTTTTTTCTCCTTTCAGCAGAACTCTGTACAATGACCTCAACATTTATTTATAAGACGCATTTACTAATAGTCTTGAGTTTTTAATATTTGTAGAAGAAGTCCTGGTGATCATGTTTTGAAGGCACTCTTGGAAAACCCTTACACAATTAATCTTAATGCTGTCTAGTTAGTTCATGCGGAGACTTCTAATTTGAGAAGTCCTTTGCATACACTGAACTTGCAGTGATTTCCCCTCTTCAGCAGATTTCACTGTGTGCTTCTCCTGAGACATTTGAATTGGCACTGTGCTTTAGTATGTTGTAGAACATCATTCTTGTGAGATATTCTTTCAGTCCTGAGGAACTCATGGCAATGGTGAGAGGAAGTTCTGTGGCTGCCGAGAAAAGGTTCTAGGATCTTCTCCAGGAGGAACACTTTTTCCTCAGTGGATACTTTTCACAAATGAAGTCACAAAAAATGAGAAAGAGAAACCCAGGAAGCAGGAAAAGGCAATTTTCAAAATGAAGCAACTAGATGATGCCATTATGTTGGGATGAAATTTGTCCAGATTGAGGAACAAAGGACCCTACATTGAGTGACCTTTCTTTTGATAATGCTGGCCTCAATTTGTTCTAAACATAGCTTTGGACCAGCCTAAAATGGTAGGCAAGATGCTTACCTGTCACATAAGCAAAAATTATGGGGAAATGAGCTTCAAGGCTAAATGAAGGAGAATGTTGACTTTTGGAGAGCAAGGTTAATCTAGAATGTTTAAGTTTGTTTTTTTCTCTGCTCTTACTCTCTTTAATTTTTTAGTTTTAATATATTTATCCATTACTCAGGAAGAATAGGAGTACATTCAAAAAATAAACTTTAAAAAATGAATCATAACAAAAATCCTTTTTTAGGGGTTGGTGTTGTGGCTCAGTGGTAGAGCACTTGCCTAGCATATATGAGGCAATGGGTTCAATTCTCAGCACCACTTATAAATAAATAAATAAATACATACATAAATAAAATAGAGGTCCATCAATAACTAAACAATATATACTTAAAAATTCTTTTTTTAAAAAAATACCACCCATGATGACATCTGTAAATTTTTTGAACTTTCCATCCTTTGTTTGGGGCACACTATTATTGATTTCAACTTTCTGTGCCTGCATGTCTCTTACTGTACTGTCTTTAATCTCTGTATAAATGCTGGTGAATTCAATGTTGTATATGCTTTAGATTTTTGATAATTCTCCTTATTTCTCCTAATTCTTCTTATCTCCCATGAATACAAACCTCAAGGATGAAGCAGATTCAGTCTGCTATCAGATTAAGTACATATAATTCCCTGGGAAACGGTTCTACCTGAGAGCCTCATTCATGCACATTATCCACAGATGAGATGCTTTTCAAAGAGAACTTTCTAGAGTCACTGGGCAAAAAAGACATCTTAGACCTGAGACAAGCTTGGGTACTGTTACAAGGAGGTGGATTTATTTTGACTCTTCCTTCTGATTTCTGAGTTTTCACTGCTGTTGTAGACTTTGTCCTGTAACTTTGTACAACTGGCAATGCTGAATATAAACCAAAGCCATATGTTTGTGTCCTTTTGCCAAACGACTCCAGTAAATAGTTCTATTATTCCCTTAGGTAACCAATGTGTGCCAAGGATTTCTATTAGTTGCCATACCATGGCCTCAGAGTCACAGCTTTGTGACATTAGGGGGCAATCACCAGCTTTATGTTTCAGGAGATTTCTTTATATATATATATATATATATTTTTTTTTTTTTTTTTAAATATGCCCTGTTTAAAAATAGGGCAAGTAATCCACTAAGAGGGCCTTTGAATTTTTTTCTTGCTGATAGTTTGAGATGCATCTGTTATAAAATATGTGTTAGAAAATAAGCTTCATCCTAAAGGGATACGTTATTTTAAATAGATTTTTCCCAAGGACTATTGAACTTTTTACTTTTTACTGTTTGTAGGAATTAATTGCAGATGTCATGTATAGAGCTTTAAAATAGTCACCTGTTTTAAAATCTTGCTTTTCAAATATCTTATAATTGCTCTTAGTCTTTAAGCAAACAAATTTCTAATACAAATGAATTCAAATTGGATCTTTAAAACTATTTTAACAATGAACCTTTCTTTAAGGACAAACATACATGAACAAATAACACATACCAACCAATATGCAAAAGGGTTTCTTCAGAGAATTTTACCTGTTCAGTAGTTTAAAATATTAAGTTGACTGTGCTTAGAACAAAAATCACAATTCTAAATTGAGCATTAACAAAAGTTCAAAATCAAATTCACAGAGATGAAACAGTGTTGAAGAGGAGAGCCTTTATATAAATTCTTTAATTGATCTCATTTTCTTTCAGTATATCTACTTCTTAATAAATAGATAGAAAATGTAGCCATACCGCTCTCTTTCTCCAGTAACTTGTAAACAATTCAGTTCACCCTGCTCCGTCAAAGAGACTCAATGTCTTTGTCCAATTTAGTGAGAAAGCTTGAAACTCATTCTGTTAAGAGGAAAAAATAAAAGAAGGAAGGAGTAAGTGTCTGGACAAATTAATAGAAGAATAATAATAAACATTGCAATGAAAAACAATGAGTTGACAATTTGGTTGGATTATATTACATACTTGGTACTTTGGATTATACTAAAAACTTGATAGTACATATCTAGTACATATCAATCAGAAAAAAATATTTTTACATTATATATATATATCAGGTCTTCTATTTAGTTGAGAAATTGGATAAGGGACTCTCAATTATTATTATTATTATTATTATTATTATTATTATTATTATTATTATTTTATGATGCTGGGGATCAAACCTAGGGCTCTTTACATGCTAAATAGATGTTCAACCACTGAGCTATATCCAGCTCTATTATTGTTATTTATTTTTTTAGTGGTGCTGGGGATTGAACACAGGATCTCACATGTGCTAGGCAAAGCATCCACCACTGATTACATTCTGAACCCTAGTATTTCTATTATTTTCATTTTTAACCACCAAAAAGAAAAACTTGAGACTAGATTTGCTCAAGAAATCACAAAATACAAAATATAACCTTTTGTTACTTAGACTTTTCTAATGAGGCCATCATAAAATGCTACTGATCTTTTGGCAAGTGTTTTAACTTGCTTTCCAAGGCAACAATTCACCCTTGGTTTACTTGGTTATCAGTCACAATGCACAGAGCTGCATCCCCTCTATTTGGCCCCAGGGATGGAAACAGAATCTGTTTTCAGAGGCCATTGGCCCTTGAGAAAAAACTTTGAAATTCCATGTAGTGTACTCAACACGCACAAGACGGCCTGTTTATAGCAATGCCACGTATACAGATACCACAGGCTTTAAATGTTTATGGCTGGCAGTTCTGGAATTTTAAAACATAAGCCACCAACCTTCCTTTCAGAAGATTTCTGTCATCTGGTCTTTTACCCCTTGCAGTATACTGAAGAGCCCCGCCTCTGAAGCATAGATGTCTGTGTTACTTGTAGTCTTTGACCAGACATGAAGCAGATGCTTCGTCAACCTAAGTCTGCAACTGTAGTTCCTGGGGAAACATGAAGATAAAAACTCTCATACAACACAACAGATTGCTGCACATGGTGTAACAACTGAAAAGTAGCAGAGGAGCTTGGGAATTCTTAGTTTGTGTTTGATTGTAACTTAAAAAAAAAAAAAAGCTTTCTCTACAAATGTTTTTGGCCCTTTCTGCTGCACCCTCAGTTCAGAAAGAGTTGTGCAGCTCTCCACCTGCCTATTCCCTTTTGTTTGCCATACACTAACCTAAAACAAAAGATCCTGGAAAATAGTCACACTGGTGAACAAAGCTCTTTCTAAATCCTGAAAGTAATGGCTTTTTGTCTAATACCCTATCGTGTTATGTATTTATTAGCAATACATTTTCCATTTATTTTCTCAAAGATTGCCAATAAAGAATTGAATCACATAAGGGAGTAGCTGTAAAGCCTCTGAGTTCCCTAATGTCAAACTCATTAGCATCCGAATAAGCGCACAGCAGCACATCATCTGCACAATTGCAATTTTTTACTACTTTTAATAGCGTTTCTCAAAGGGCTCATTTTCAACTTTCTTCAGTGGTTAGTTGGGTCTCAGGGGAAAAGGAGCTTCCTGACGCTCACAGCTTCCACTCAACAACCCGGCCGTTTGCTGTCAGATGCATCAGCCCTCTGCCCTAACCCCATCTGCTGTGGCTCCCCTCCCTGGGGAGGAGGGTGGAGGCAGCACAGCTGAGATCGGCTTGGAGAAGTGTGCAGAGGGCATGGAGAAAATATAAGTTTAGGAATATGATTTGACACATAAGGGCTCAGGAAGTCGAAGCACACCAAAATACAAATGGGAACCAGGAGCCCTTAATGTGCTCTCATTCCAAGCGTCTGTCATAAACAACTCCACCCACCTGCTCTTTGGAAGGCCATTCTTGGCAGATACCAGAAGGAATCATCCACTGAAATGTCCCCTCTCCCCTCTGCACGTGTGCTATTATATCAGGAGATACCTTTAAAACTCCATTTTTATTAATTGCCTTTCTTTAATCTTTTTTTTTCTGAAGATCTTAAATTGTTTTATAAAACTTAAGGGCTTAATAAAATATTCATGGAAAATACACATTTTTAAGATGGTTAACCCAAAACTTGGAAACCTGACCAAGTTCCCAAAACTTTCCAGGATGAACACATTTGCATGGAAATCCATATTTTTCTGAAACAGCAATCTTAAAAGATGAAACTATATGACAACCAAGGTGTTAGTAACCTAATGAGTTACACAGTTCTTAAGTGTGATCTCTAATCATAACTTGGCTTTATTTGTTACATATAGTCATCACCAAGTACTCCATTTTTCTGCTCTTCTATCTGCCAATAATTAAGGACTCTCAGGCCTTTATAGCTGCTTCATGGATGAGTACCTGCTTCTGAAAAAGACAGATCTTCAAACATATGATACAATGTAATGAATTTGCTGTGCTATTTTTTTTTTAAACAGGAAAATACATCAAATTGTATTGAGTCAATGAGTGGGAAATGTCCTTGTTTCTATCCAGGATCCACAGGTCTCAGCCTCCCAGGTCAATGAGATTACAGGTGTGCACTACCACCCCTATAGTGAAATGATACATATGTCCACTGCATTCCTATAGACTGCAGGTCCACAGATTTACTTATCCCAAAGGATGAACTAATTTTAAAGATTCTCCAAACTAAACACAATGAATAATTTGGTGAACGGACAAATGAATTAATGTGAAATATATATAGCACTTATGGCTCATAATATAACTAATACGAGGTCATTGCCACCACCAATTTCCCAGTCTGCCTTCCAATGAAACCAGCCCATTTTTTCTCAGTCAGGCAGGAATTGCATGGCAGTTCTCTCTGAGGATTGGAATGTTAATACAATCTCCAAAGACCATTCACTGATTTAGTCTTTAGAAAGTAAACATAAGAATGCCAACATATTTACTTCAGAACTGCTATCCCTTGAACTCCTGTCTCCACAATTTCGAACAGTTTTAACCTCTCAATCACTGTTATTTGTTTATTTACTGGTATGAGGGACCTATGAACACTATACTACATTCCTGGCCCTTTTTATTTTTGAAGCAGAGTCCAGCTAAGCTGTTGAGGCTGGCCTTTAATAATTACACTCTGATCTGATGGTGGAGGAGAAAGAGTCAATGATTGGGAAATATCCATGTTTCTAACCAGGATCTTCCAATCTCAGCCTCCCAAGTCACTGGTATTACAGGTGTGTACCACCATGCCCGGCTTGTTCTAACTTTAATATGTCACCAATTGTTCATTAGTTAGAATGATGAAAAGGGGGATTATCCTTGCCTGTTTCATTTTTTTTTGAACAAGGCAAGTTTTTTACACTTCTAAGTTTCCATATTTGTTTTTATATTAATCAGTATTATAATTTAAGTTACAGCCAATTTTGTATCATATATGTACTATTATATTATATATCTCACATATATTTATATATAACCTTGATCATATCTTTATCTGGAAATACAATGGAATTCTCCAGTTTTCCATTTGCCGTTTGGCACCTTGAAATTTCTAAGATAATTTAAATCCTTTATTTTGGATTTTCAATATCAATGAACTGTAGAGTTGGTTTTTCCATCGTAGCAAGAGAGTCTATATTTAGAAAATGATGCACAAAATTTTTGTGAGACTACTCCTACTTAATATTTATGCTGTTGAAAATGACTTTCTTCTGCTTAGCTCCCTAGTTTATTAGGGAATGTGCTTCATTGGCTGGAGCAAATGAAAATAAATATTGAGTTTTATTTAAAATGTTTTAGGAAAAGAAAAATACTGCTTATTGGCCACAAGCTTTACTTTTACCACCAGCCCATAATTAGGTGCCTGCTCACAGTAGGAAGAGCTTCTGCAAAACTGGAATCACTCTGCAGGAAACACAGCTCACAGAGCAAAGTGGGTCAGGGGGATCACTTACATTTAGGAAGGATGTTTCAGATTTTAAATCACTATATGTTCAATACAATGAAATTTTTTACATCGGCAATCAAATTGTTCCTCATGATCCACTTTTAATACTTTTGGCTTCCCTGAGTTATCTCTGAAGTTCAAATATGAATGAAACTTCTTGCAACTCAGAACAGTCACTTAGAAAGAAGAACAAAGTAAAATTTGTCAAACAATATACTAAATTTCCATTGATGGATTGAGTTGATTTTCACTGGTTTTTCCCAAATTTTTGAAATCTCTGCTCTGTAGAATTTTAAGTGCAAAGAGTGCTAGAGCAAGTTTGATCTGTTCCCAAAACAGGCAGTTTTTGCTTTGCAGACTGTCGAAGTTATCCAGAGCATCAAAATAACTTTCTGGTTTTCCACTGTGACAGACAGGAAATAATTGTACTTGCACTAGTAGGCATGATAGTATTTGTGTTTGTCCTTTCAGTCCCTGTAAAAATAAAATACAGATCTCTTCTCCTTAAAGTCTTAAACAATTCCAATAACTTATACAAGACCTATATTTCTCCTTGCAAGATTTTTAACTGTCACCTGATTTAAGTAACAAAATAGCCCTCAAAGATACTTAAAGCCTTGCTGTAATTAACATAACTGCATTTAGATGCCATTCATGACTGATAATTTCAACACCTTGTGGGAAAAAAAGTTGCATGCTGTAAACATTATAAACATATTCAAATAAGCTTAACACAATCTGCCATGCTTATTTCTGCCTAGATCATGGACCAGCGAAATGGTTAATGCAAATGGATTTATAATTTGCTTTGGGGGGCCAGTTTCTTCTCCTTATTTATTAGCCCAGCTGATGGGGCAGATTTGATGAGGCACTTCTGGAATAATTGAGTCATCACACAAAGAAGGCTGCTAGCATTCAGAGTGGTTTTATCAGCAGCAAGCAGGCCTGATTACTGACAATTACACTCTGATCCGGTGATGGAGGAGAAAGAGCCAACGAGTGGGAAATGTCCGTGTTTCTATCCAGGAATAATTTCTACATTCATTTTACATGCTAAGTGTTTCCTATCTCTGCATAATAAACTGTAAACAGGAATAGATGGCACAATGTCCCTTAATATTTCCTGGTAATGAAGACACAAATGTACAGTGAGTGCTGATAAATATAGATGAAACATAAGCTATTCTCCCAGTCTGTATTGTTACCTTTAAAACAAATGCATTTTTGTGGTAAAAGCATAATCATAGCTAATGCAAAAAAATGACAGAAGATTGAAACTGTCCTTGTAACTACATAGAAACTTTGTAAAAGTCCTGTTAATCACTGCTGCTTTAGAGGCTGGCGAGCTGAAGGTGAGATTCTAGAAACCACATCATTTTGTTTCTCAATAGTCAACTGTGAAGAACTCCTTGGGTTACACTCAGCAAAGGACAGCATGACAGTGACCTCCATTAACACTCACAGAAAGCACATCTCAATGCTCAACTGAGACGACGACTAAGCTGGCACAAGAAGACATCTTCCCTAGCATAGATTTCAATTCCCCTCCCATCAGGCCTTTCATCAAAATGTTGGTCATGAATAACAAAGTTAGACCAAAGGCTGCATGATCTGTCATGCATTGCTGTCTTCAGCGTAGTGTTTTAACCATTTATTTAGGACATGGTTTATTAACAAAACACCATAAGCAAAAAATGCATCTCACAGAGACATCTGGTTAAACTAGTTTCTCTCTTGACTCAGAATAGAGTTCAAATGCCCAGAGAAAAGCAGTGTCCAGACTTCTCAATGTGCTGCTGGAGATTTTAGTGGCAACACTTTAATTTCCTGTAATATCGAGAGTTTCCTCTTTTAAAAAGCCAATCAGGTGTGAAGCCACGCATAATGAACCTGCCTGGGTCTGTTTGCTTAATCTTTTCTCTAAAGCCCCTTCCTGGCTTCCAAAGAAATA